TTAAAGATGAGGAAATAAAGAAAAGTGCAATTTTAGCCAAGATAAATGTGATGAACAACAAGCTCTGAAAGCAGAAGAAAGCCTGGCCAATGTGAGAAGTTGCTGAGTGTATTTTTGTCGACCGACTTGGGCATTTGTTCTTTCAAGGTATTTTTTTGTTCCATGAGTTTTCATGGCCCCATGGAGTAAAACCTTCTATGAAAGTTTTCATACTTTTCTTTGTAGGGATAAAGATCTTACAGCAACTCCTCTATTAAAAAAATAAATCCCAAAATCTTAATATCCATTCTCCTGCTGGTGGGAAGGCTTTGATATGTATTATTTGCCTCCCTATGCCATTCAGGTGTAACAAATGCCTGCACAACCAAACATCCTTCTACAAAAAATATTTATAAATGTTGTACTTAACCATTGTGATCATCAGCAAACACTTTGTCTTCTCCAGGGAAAAGAACTTTTCTATTTTTCCCTCTTATCACCATTCCACTGCTCTTCCCAGTTCCTTTGCCTTCTTTGTACTATGCTCACTAATTTGTTTTAAATCAATTACTAACCCAATCAGAGGGGGAAATTGGAGTTTTGTTTCGCAGCGTGAAGAAAATGCTGGATTTAATATCTCTTTATGCTAAAAAGTGTTTGCTGTTTTAAAGTGCTAGGTTTAATCACAAAATTTATAGTGCTGTTTTTTAACAAATTTAAAATTCTGCCAGCAAAATTTAATTATTAAATTTAATTAATTTCATTAATAAAATAAATTTAATTCTGCCTGCAAATTTACCAGGATGAGGGCATCACCTGGGGATGGTATTCACCTAATTCCACTTAAGCCTTTATTTAAAATTTAGGTTAGATGAATAAATGCTGAAATCTGTAAAATTATTGAAAGCCCAGCTGTTTGTGTGCAGCAACAGGTTGGACGAGCAGAGGCAGCTCAGCTGGGCAGAGCCTTTCCAGCCTTTTCCAGGCAGGTCAGCAGAAGTCAGAACTTTACAAGCTATTTCTGGTCCTGTGCCAGCAGGAAAATGGAGCCTCCTGCAAAACTAATGAGCTGAAGCAAAGCTTTTGTTCCCATCACTGAGCCCTCTAGAAACCTTAATTACAGAGGGACAGAGCTTCAGGATCAATTATCCAGATTTCAGCTCACAGAGACAAAACTCCCCTTTTTAAATCAACTTGGTGTTTCCTTTGTAGAAGCCAAGGGCAGCTTGGGCTGATGAGCTCAAGCAGTGCCTGGGATTGGGGAATAATTCAGCTGCTCTGGGACTTCATCAGACAGACACATTCTACTACTTTAGGTGTCATTCTGTGAAGAGATTAATATAATATAATATAATACAATATAATATAATATAATATAATATAATATAATATAATATAATATAATATAATATGGCTCTACAAATATATTTACTATATGTATTACTATTGTATTGATTGTATTGTATTGATAGATATTTACTGTTGTATTGATTAGTAGTGCTGTATTCACATTTTAATAGTACGGTAACTGTAGTTTTGTAGTTAAAATGTAACTTTTGTACTTAAAATCATTTAACTCTGACTTTCCAAAAGTTGTTTTGCAAGGCATGCAAGTGTGGCCACGTATTTCAAAAAGTCATTGAGGCAATCTTTCATTTTTGGGGTTGGTTTTGCAGTCACCTTTGTGAGGAATGTTTTGGGGCTTTATTAAAGGAGGCAATGTCACTGTCATATTTTCTGGAAAAATCCCTTTGCCAGGATTTCTTCTCCTGGGAAGCTGAGAAGCATCAGAAAATAATGAAAACAATAATTGTCTGATTGCTTCTCCTGTGTTTTGCTGCATTGGAATGTGGTCTGGAGATCATTTACCAACAGGTGCATGTTTGATTGGTTTCAGGTGAATTGCTTTAACTTAATGACCAATCACCATCAGCTGTGTCAGACTCTGAGGAGTCAGGAGTTTTTATTATTCATTCTTGTTAAACCTTCTGTCTGTATCCTTTCTGTATTCTTTAGTATAGTTTTAATGTAATGTAATGTAATATAATATAATAATATATCAGACTTCTGAGAACATGGAGTCAGATTCTCATCTCTCACCTCGTCCTGGGGACCCTCACAAACTCAGCAGACCCTGAGTGGTTTTGTGGCACAGCTCACAAGGAAGCCCTGGTGCTTTTCTGCATCCCTGCACATGGCTGGGTGTGAGGAGAGCAGACAACAAATCCAAATCCTTGCAGGACAGCTCTGACCAAATCAACCACTCGAATATTTGCTACCTCCCAAATCAAGTCCTGGTTAAAGTTTGGAAGATCTGGATAAGTCATTTTTCAGCTATTTGGCCAAAACACAACTATGGGTGAGGGAAAACCACTCTGAGCTGGGGAGGCACTGAAAATGGGAGTGCTGCAGGAAAGATCACTCACTTGGGATGCCCAGACATAAATTCAGATGATACACTTTAAAACACTGAGGGGGCAACAGAGGAAGAGGAAGGACAAACTCAAACTGAGCAGATCTCAGTCAGGATCAAGAGGAGCAGCCTGGAAGTTCAGTAAAATCCTGTAAAAAGTGAGCTGCTGCATGAACACATACATGTTAACATTAGAGACAGGCAAATACTTGACTCCAATTGGGCAAACTTAAGCTAAATCATCAGGAAAGGTGGGATAACAGGTTTGGTTTAGAAAGAATCCAGATCAAAGTTTCACTGGCACAGAGAGGAAAAAAAGCCAACATTTTTTCCTCAAAACACTTCTTTAAAACAGCTGACCTGCAGCTAAGAATATTCAGGGCAAGAGATGAGTGTACTAGAAAGATGCTCCCCAAGGTCACAAGTATGGGACCTTATTGAAGATAGAGGGTGTTGGGCTTTTTTATTTGTTCTTTTTATTTTTTATTTGTTGTTTTGTTATTATGTTATTTTTATGTAATATTATTGTATTTTTTTTTGTTTTAAGTTATTTGTTTTTTTTAAATGTAGTTTTTGTGTTATAGGAAAAAATATGGTTTTGTTGATGGTTAGGTAAGAAAAGTTTAGTAAAAAGTTATTTTATAATTTTTTTCATTTAGGATTTTTTAATATTTTTATTTGTTTAGATTATTACTATATTTGTTTATTTTCTTCTATTTATGTTTCGTTTTGTTTGTATTAAGGAGGACTAGTGTTTTGTAAAGTTTTTATTGTTTTAGAAAAGGGTTAAAATCTTGGGATTTTTTTAGAATTTTTATGGTTGCTGGGTATTTTTTTACTGTATTTTTTTTTGGTTGGCTGTGTTGTTAGTATATGATATTAAATTTTAAGTTGGTATAAATACAGGTATACTTGTACTTAAGTATAAGTTTATAATTCATATAAGTATATACTTTCACAAACATGGGAAGAACCTGTATAACTGAGCCTGGAGTGCCAGGACACAGGAGAACACCTTCAAACTGACAGGGAGTAGGTTTAGGATATCTATTAGGTGGGATATGAGGAAAAAATCCTTCCCTGAGAGAGGAATAGCAGATTTGTCTTTACAAACCAGCTGTGGGGCTGCTGGTAGATAAAACCAGCACTGGGAGATGAAAGAAACAATGGGAAGGATTTCACTGATTGATGAATGGGAAAAGATATTTGCTTTTACAAATAAACTTTAGGTTTGCTGATAGATGAAATTAGACATTGAAAGAGGAAAGGAACAATGGGGAAAACCTCTAAATTCCATAAGAATTAAAAATGAAAAGGGAGGGTTATACATTAGAGGGAAATCTTTGGGATCAGGCATTCTGAGAAGTCTGAACCTCTCAAGTACCTCAGACAATGGGGAAAGAGAGAAGGGAAATGTGGCTGGGAAATTGGGATAAAAAGGAGGCTGGGTCCTCCAAAAATTGGAGAGACCCCAGGGGAATGCCCCATGGCCTCTGCCTTTATTGCAATAAAGCCAAAGGACTCCTCTGCCTCCTTTTTGTACATAAACCTCTGCTGTAATACCTCTGGTGTTTGTAAATTGATTTTCCTGACACCTGTGAGGGTGGGCAGGCCCTGGCAGAGCGGCTGTGGCTGCCCCATCCCTGGAAGGGTTCCAGCCTTGGCTGGGTGGGTTTGGAGCACCCTGGGATTGTGGAAATTGTCCCCTCTGTGCCCTCCCAGAGCTCCCTGCTCCCAGCACTCTGCCTTTGGGAGGTGATGCCCTGGTGCTTGTTGGGAGACATGGACTGTGAGATGATCTCCTGCTAAAGCTGGATTAGGAGAAGCTTTGGGCTCTGGTGGGACATGTGGAGCAAGAGTCTGGATTCCCCAGACATGGCAGTCTTAACACTTTTATTTTTCCCCCCTGTGCCTTTCTAAAAATGACTGGCTCAAATACCAGGATTATATATATTGCATTTTGGGGGGTTCTAAAGGCACTTCAATTTATTTCCCATATTGGAAGCAGTGCTTTTTTAATGAAAAGAGCCCAAATGCAGATGCTGAAGTGTTTCAAACACAGAGCCCAAATCAAGATGCTGAAATGTTTCAAACACAGAGCATCACAACTAAATACTTCGAGGAAGGAGCTGATGATCACAGTTGCATAAAATGGGGATTTAACTCTTTTGTAGCAGCTGCATAACTGATCAGTAAAATGAGAGGAAAACCAGTTTTCCTAAGGAGCTGGCACAGAATATTTAGCTGCTGAAAAGGCTTATTGTAGAAAATATATTTACCAGAGAGAAAATGAAGTCTGGAAGAGGACCAGCTCTGGGCTGAATGGATTTGAAAAGCCTCTTTCACTGCCTAGGCAAGTTTAGACTGTAAATCAAAATTATAAGGGCTCAATTTTTAAATTTTAAAATTTTAAATTTTATTTTAAATTTTATTTCTTAAGTGGGAGGAGGACCTGCTGCTAAAAGAAACCAACATGAATTTAAGGGGCTCATTTGCTGAGAGCATGCAACGACAGCCTGAGTAAAGTGCAGGCACACAGACAATGGGAGCAGGAACCCTCCTGCCCTGCCAGGCACACACAGACACCCTGAAATCCATGGAGCTTTACCTTTCTGCAGCTTGGATGCATTGTCCTGGATCCAGCTGAAGAGGTTGGCAAAGTCACAGTCGCACACCCAGGGGTTGCCCTCCAAGCGGATGGTCCTCAGCGAGGGCAGAGCTTCCAGGGCTGCCACGTTCAGGCTCTGCAAGTTGTTGTCATTCAGTTCTAGCACCTGCAGCTGGTCCAGATTCTCAAAAGCAGCCTCGTCCACATCCACCAGGTTGTTGTTCCCAAGGCTCAGTTTGATCAGTTTCTCTGCTGATCTGAATATCCCGGCATCGAGCTGGGTTAAATTATTGTAGCTCAAGTCTAAATACACCAGTTTGGTAGAACTGCTAAAAGTGCCCTCTTCTAAAGAGGTGAGCGAGTTATTCCTGAAGTCCAAATAGACCAGATCTCCATAAAATATAAAGAAATCAGCTGGTATTGCCTGAATGTTGTTATCAGCTATCAGAAGTTTCCGTACATCCAATGGGAAGGGGTTGGGAACACTTGGGAGTCCTTGATCCCGGCAGTCTATGGTGTGGTAGTCCATACAGCTACAAACAGCAGGGCAGAGATGAGCCCCAGGCAGGAGAAGCAGGCCGGCAAAGGCAGCAAAAGGCAGGAGGCAGGAAGGGAAGCATGGCAACATCGTCAGGGATCTGGAGGCTGTGATGAGCAGCACTTCAGGAGAAAGACATTTTGCTGGGCTGCACGGGAGTGCCTGGTACTTGTGTGTGTGTGCCTGATTGTATCCAGGAGATCACATATCATCACAGATCCGATAGCAGCAGGCTGGAGGGGGAGGGAGGAGGGAGGGAGGGAGGCAAATGTGAGGATTTACACTGCCAGGATATTGTGATGCTGTACAGGGGGAGCAGAGCGATGATTGGGTACGCGGAGGATCTTTCAAAGGACTCCCTTGCCTTTGTGAGCTAAAAAAAGCCCTGAGCCTGTTTGAATATTTGCTGTCTATTCCAGCAAAGGGGAAATCACACCTGATCCTGTGACTCTGACAGCAACAGCTTCTGCTTAAAAAGCCCCTCAGGTAAAAATCCCTGATGAGAGATGAGATCACTCGCTGTGCTTCTCAGCAGGAGCCTCCACCAAGGTGAGGGTGAAATGCAAGTGAGGGTCAGGCAGTGTCCTGGATGTCTGCTGAGGTCACTTATTGTAGAAAATACATTTACCAGAGAGAAAATGAAGTCTGGAAGAAACTGAGAGCAGGTTTCCCTTTTATTTGTAAAACAGGGAGCAGAAGGGGGCAGCCCAAAGACAAGGAGCTCTGCTCTGTGCTGTTTCTGGGTTCCTCAGCTGTCAGAGCAAGCCTAACAGCTTGAATTTCCTGCTCACATTATCTAAATATGACTCAATATCTTTTAACCAAGAAGAATAACCTACAGCAGCAACAAGGTCTCCAAAATGAGGGGCTTTCCCCTCCTGTTTTAATGACCCAAAAATCCACTTTCTACTACAGCACCAGTAATGTCTGTTGGGCCACATGAAAGTGCAAAATGTGGATCAATCCTTTAGCTGGTTAAAATTGAATGGGTTTTCTTCATTTTCAGGGGGTTGGAATATTAGACAGTCAGTCTGTCTGTCCTGTGGGACAGCAGAAATGATTTTGCAGCAAGGCAAATCTCTGTTTTCCTGACATCCTCAAACCCACGCCCACAAAGGCAAATCCTCAGCCTGCTGCACACTCAACTTGAGGGGCTTTTCCCTCCTGTTTTAATGACCCAAAAATCTACTTTCTACTACAACACCAGTGCAAGAATCTGTGATGTCTGTTGGGCCACATGAAAGTGCAAAATGTGGATCAAATCTTTAGCTGGTTAAAATTGAATGGGTTTTCTTCGTTTTCAGGGAGTTGGAATATTTGACCGTCAATCTGTCTGTCCTGTGGGACAGCAGAAATGATTCTGCAACAAGTCAAATCTCTGTTTTCCTGACATCCTCAAACTCACACCCACAAAGGCAAATCCTCAGCCAGTTACACACTCAATTTTTAACTCCATCCCTCCCTCCTCATGCAGGGTGTGCAAGCAGAGAGCCTGGGGTCACACCTGTGTGCTGTGATGGAGGATTTTTCTAGAGGCAGATGGTATTTGGGTATCCTGATGTGGAGAGCACAAAGTCAAACACCTTTGGCAAGCTCATTCTTAGGTCAAAGAGAGGCCAGAATTTTCAATTTAAGGTCATATTTTATAAATGGATTCTGAGTATTTTTCATCCAGAATAGGGGATAAAAATTTCCTTCTCAGACAGACATTCCTCCAAGAGCCCTGAACCCAAAGCAGCATCCCTCACCTCTCCTTTGGTGTGTACCTAAAACACTGAACAGGGAACAAAGAGGGAGCCACAGAAAAAGATGAAATGGGCACAGATTGGAAACCATCTGAACACAAGGAAACTCTTCTCTGGCTGTGAGGGTGGCCAGGCTTCCCACACAGGCTGAATTTCACCACAAAACCCAGCTGGGAACAGCCCTGGGCAAACTTGCTCTGGCTCTGCTTGAGCAGGGCACTGCACAAATTGATTTCCAGAGGTCCCTTCCAACCCCAGCACTTCCCTGCACTGCTCTTGGGAAAGGAACATGGCAAGGTTTATGCCTTTGAGTGCCTCTCTCGCATTTTGCAACACACCTTGTTTCTAATTCATGGGGTTTTCAGCTAAACCACCTTGAAACTGCCTCCAGATCCCTCCCATAAAGACACAGCCTGCTCCATAATTTCATGTCTTAAATTACTTTGAAAACACCACCCAGAAAGAAATGGGCACAGCTGCCCCTATAAACCACCAGGGTAAAACCCAAATAAATTCCTGAGGTGATTATTTGAAGTATTTACCTTTAAATTACAGAGGAAGTGGCAGTTTGACAGGCTAGCTCCAATTAGAAAAACCCAAATATGCAAACTAACTCTTGGGGGCTGAGGATTCATTGAATTGGCATCACCAAGTAACTGCAACTGGTGTTTTTCATGCAGAACTGATAATTTTTATATTGCAAACAATTGCTCCTCTGCAATCTACTGGTTTTCTGCCCTAATTTAACAAGGCTTTAGGTGAGAAATAAAGCTGTTTTTAACACAGGAAAGCAGAACTGATATGATGTCTTTTGCAATGTAGTTTTATATGGATAGATTCAGGTGTCTATTAATGTCAGGTATTTATTCACAGGATTTCAGGGGCTCCTCCTCTGAAGACCCCCCCCTTTTTCTTTTATCAAGTGCACAGAATCAGGATGTGACATTTTCATTTCCAAGATGCCTCAGCCTTCACAGATGGGAGACTACAGACAATAAGGCAGAATTTGTGAAAGTTCCAAGAACATGCTTGTGGCAGGGGTGGAAAAGGACTCTCAGCTTCCCTAAGAATTCCAGCAGCCCTTGCTAAAACTTCCACTCCTTTCTACAGAGAACAACTCTTCCTTTTGCTCAGCTGCTCACCTGCATCCCTCACTGGCACCCCTGGATCCAAGTGTGGTGATTGCTGTCCCCAGGATGAGGGAAGAGATGAAATTGGCTCCATGTTCTTAGAAGGCTGATTATATTATATTATATTATATTATATTATATTATATTATATTATATTATATTATATTATATTATATTATATTATATTATACTATATTATATTATATCATACTATACTATATTATATTATACTATACTATACTATATTATATCATACTATACTATATTATATTATATCATACTATATTATCTATACTAAAACTATACTAAAAGAATAGAAATCATACATAGAAGGCTTCACAAGAATGATAATAAAAGCTGGTGATTGACTCCTCAGAGTCTGACTCAGCTGATGGTGATGGGTCATTAAATTAAATAATTCACATGGACCCAATCAAACAATCACTTATCACATTCTAAAGTAGCAGGTAATTATTATTATAATTCTTTATAATATTATAAAGAATTATATGTTATATTTCTTTTCTGAGGCTTCTCAGCTTCTCAGGAGAAAAAATCCTGGCAAAGGGATTTTTCAGAAAATATCACAGTGACATCCAGCCATGGGCTGATGCATTTCCATGCTGTCTTTGGTTTCTTCCTGACCCATCTTTCTCTGTGCAACATTTCCTGTTTAATTTTGCCTTTTTAGCTTCTGCTTATTTCTGTTTCTCAGCTGTTTCCCTCACAGCACAAAAATTCTTTTGAATCTTCTTGAAGCTTCGCTCTCTTGCCAAACATTTTGTGCAGTTTGGACAGGCAGGAAGAAAGCACAGCTTTCTACCTAAAAAATATCCAAGTTATACTTTTAAAAATTGTTTACTTGCATCAGTCAGTGGCAGTAACCTGGGGTTTGGCTGGGATGTGCTGAGTGCACAGCACCCTCTTGTGCCCTCAATTCTGGGCAGCCACAACTGCTCTGCTCCCCTCTGGTGAGCTGCTAACAAGTTTTACCATATTCCTACAGTTTGCCTGTCTCTCAGGTTCCTTTCCTCCTCTTTCTGTCAAGGAAACCCCAATCAAAAATAGAAGACATAAATCAGGTGGGTTCTTATGGATTCAACTCACGCTATGGTAAAACACAAAATTGCACCAGTAGTCTCAGAAATAAAGGGTTTTTATAATCTGTGCTCCTTCAGTGCTCCTGAGCAAAGCCCCACAGCTTTTCCAGCTTCTTTCACACTTCTAATACTACATTTTAGTTCATACAGGTTTGAAAAAGCACAAACTTCCCAGTTGGGAACTGATGCCCAACAAAAACCCCAAAAATTCTTCTTCCACAAAGGTGGGACCCCTCATTGATGAGATTTTCACTGTCAGCTGATTTATCTGTGATTCTGCCTTCCAGGCTCCCCCAAAGGGACAGAATGGTTTTGAAAAATATCCTTGTGCATCAGGGTAACAATTCCAGTTCCAGTTCTAGCTGCAGAGGATTTTGTTTGGAATCCCTGTGTGGAGAGCAAAGAAGGGAAATCACTCTCTCTCCACATCTCCCAGTAGCAGGAGCTGGATAACCACAGCAGTAGGCAGACTAAAAACAGCGATATGGGTTTCCATTCTTTAATTTTTTATTCAGGATACTACCAGGAGAAACCTTGACAATAAAGGCAGTGACAAGGCACCGGATCCTCAGTGTGCTTGCAGTACTGAAAGAAACTGAGAGAAAAAACATTTGCTTCTGACAGAGCTTCCATCTTCCAGAGCTCCCCTTAAAAGTGCTCAAAACTTCCCCAAATAATTTAAGTAATTTTTTAAAATTTTTTTTTAATTTTCTGAAGGTCTTTTAGTCTGCTTTGGTAAGGGAATTTCACAAAGACATTCTCTGCAATGTCTTCTGTGGCTGTATTTATTAAACTTATATGTGGTACAAGCTATTCGCAATTAATTCAAATTAGGAATTAAAGGAATTAAAAACAGACTGGATCCTCTAAATCTTTGTTGTAATGCAGAGAAAACAACCCCAAGACAGTCATTAGTGCTCCCTTCTCTTCTCCCTTCTGCATTGTTGCTGCCGGCCCTCCATGGATTTAAATATGCAGAAAGTAAGTTTGTGTCAGTGGGAATTCCAAGCATCAGCTGAGAGGCAGAAATAATGGAAATAATTATTACACCCTTCTCTTTACCACAAAAATACTTCGTAAAAAATATAATTATGCCCTTTACCATAAAAATACTTCATAGAAAATATAATTATTTCTTAACAGATCAGTAAGTAAGGGGGTTAAAAAGAAAGAGCAATCACTGTGCAGACACACGTGAAGG